TTTGACTTTCGTTGTGTGGGTTTGTACTGCTACTAACATCTCTTTTTTTCAGAGTCTTTCAATGTGGTTTTTGTTATGGCCACCTAGGTCGTCCTGCCCCAGTGCTCATATGCAGATTTGAGTGGAATGAGCGCTGTGTTTAATGGGCTGAGCGCTGCATATGAGCAACACCTTCGCCGCCATCTTGGCCTCTGACCTGGCTCACTGGCAGTGTGGAGGCCTTTATGCTTTTGGAATCCCGGTCAACCAGCCCCCGCCATGGAATCAGTGTATGTGTTGCACAGCTGCCTGACACTCCCAGCACTGGTGACAACACAAAATCAAGATTGGGCACTCCAATCATCCTTGGAGATGCTGACATGAGTGGATGCGGCAGTGTGTGCCTCAACACCAGTGTGGTTGTTCTACTGGGAGCTGGACACACCTAGTTTCAGTGAGTCTTTTTTTCCCTCTGTGCCACATGCTAACTTCTCCCTGGCCAGAAAATTTGATTCATCTGCATTTCAAGCTGTGCAGCGCATGGATTCAGCTGGAAAAGTGCAACTTCTGCAGCACCAAACACCATGAACAATTCAACTACTGGCGCTGCAGCGGGTGGAACAGTGTTATCAGCATGGTGGAGTACTATCTCTCATGCCTAAACTGGTCAAGTCTTATGTGAGTTTTCCCCTCCCCCTCATTGAATATTGACTGATTTTTTCATCAGGTACCCTATGTAATACACTACAATACAACAATGTACACACACAAGGTTTATGCACAGAACTAAGAAAATTGAGTCCTGAGTACATTACTGATCGCTTTTCGAGGCACTGATGCTGCTGTGCAGCACATGTTTCAGGCTCCAAAACAGCCACAAATTAGTTTAGATTTCCACATCAGTAGACTTGAAACTAAAAATCCAACTCACCTTTCAGTGTCTTTTTATCTTAATTTGATACTTTGCCTTTCACATTACACCTCTGCTGTGCCTAAATTTGGAAATCTCTGGTGTGAATTGAAGCCGAGGTCTCACTGTGACCCAATATCACATCAGTGACTAATCCACTACTGCTGATCAGTTGCCATGCATCTGCAACTCATTCTGAACCATCATGGGCAAAAGATCTGTAAGGGAGAAAGCCAGGAAAGCTGAAAACAAAGCAGAACACGAGTATAAGGCATGTGTTAAATACTTTGCTTGCCATTGCTGAATGGTTCAGTAGGCACTCTGTGGGGAAATTCGTGAACTACTGCAGCACTCATTGCAGGAAAAGTGGCAGCTCTCTGCTGATGAGGCTGATCAACTGAAGGAGATGGTTGATCAGTTGGACTCTGATGACGAGTTTGTGATTTGCAGTGAACTTGACACCGCCCATGTTGGTAGGGGTGACTCAGACCACAGCAAGTTGGACTCAGAGGATGAAAAGGTGAAGGTGAAAAAAATCAGCAAAACGAGGATGCACAAGTTGACAGTCAAGGCAAAGAAGTGCAAGGGGGATTTTGGCATGCTCATCATAGGTGATGTTGTCCAGGACATATCTGGTGATGTGGTGATGGAGGTTTCCCTGCAATGCTCCCCAGCATGCAGTATTACTAAGCTGCCCAGTGAGGCAAAGTGGTGTGCTGCAGCTGCAGACATCAAGGCCAATGGACATGGGCTTCCAAGCCTGCTGGCTCAGTTGCAGGAACTTGCCTCTGAGGTTGCACATTTGCCTAACCTGCCACCTACGACCACACATGTATGCTTATTATCTTTTTCCTCTTTTTTTTTTTTTTTGTTCTGAGATCTTTTCTTTTCTTTTCTTTCTAGATCCACGAGACTGGGATCATGTTTATTCATCAGAGGAGAAAGAACCAGCTCGACTATGCATCGCTGTCTCAATTCACGACTGTGGTGATCTTGGCAGGAAAGGCACTGAGACTGTCTGCCTGGGTTTATTTGTCTCTTGGTCCAAAGCCCCCATTGGTTCTACCACAGAAACCTTCTTGCAGTACCCTCTCCACTGCTGCCTTGGGGCGATCATTGCTTTGAAGCCTGGTAGGGGATGCAGTGCAGGCAAGACCCTTGTCATTTGCGAGCCAAATGTGCTCCACCTCAATCGCTGTGAGGCCAATCTGGACAACATATCACTTGCACACTTCTGAGAGCTGTTCCAGGAGGTGAAGAAGAAGAGAAGATTTGGCAGATCTTTATTAATTAGAGCTGTGAGGAGCAGAACAATGATGGGCACTGTTTCACTTTGGCCCTGGAATGGATGGCAGAGATTGTTGTGAAGGGGTTGCAGATTGAGTGGCATGAGAACAGTGGGGTAAAGGAAGTTGAAGGACTTTGTCTCATTGACACAATCGAGATGAATGGGAAAAAGGTCAACAAGTAGATATATTTGATTTGTGTTGTGGCCAGCTCAAAGTCCTTCTTGCTTGCATACTTGAGATTTCTTTTAGCAGCTGAACTGACTTCCAAATTGTTGGTGGGTTTATTAAACTCATGTGTTTTCCGACCAGTTGTAATTTGGTGTGTATGGAACATTTTTTATTCAGAGCCATCTAGCCTGGGAAACAGCCTCGTTCTTTTTGGATATCTGATGTGTTGCATCTGATTCGAATCCTACAAAGTTGCAGCCTATTTGACAAACACTTTTTGCAATGGCTTTGTCCAACATCGTAATTTGATGTATATTTAAGATTATTTGAGAAACTCTAGGGATTTTGGCATGAAAAGCCTCAGAGTTCGCTGAACTCTTCAACAATCTGAAACTCTGATGAGTGGCTGTTATATCCATGCACTCTACCTTGCCCTACCTATTGTTCTGCTTTCCGCCTTCTGCTCGAGCAGAACTTACTGATCACAGGACTTTGTCTTATCATCCGATCATTGGGTTTTTATGCAATGAAGGATTACTGAGTGTTTCCCGTTTATCCATCTTCTCTCTTATTGTCTTAGATACTTATCACTTCTTCATCTCCTTTGGAACTACGTCCTTATTGTTCTTATTGTCTTTCATCCAGAGCATAGGCATATAACTGCATTAGTGTTAACAATTAGACTACTTAGATAAATATGCTCTAGCTACAGCTTGTACTTCAGTTTGTTAATTAATGTTGCTTTGCTTTCCGCTCTGCACTGAGTTGTCTTCTACCTTCTAGCGGAAACTCTGCTCTTACTTCCTTATACTTCCTGCCGGCCTAGGTAGTTCACTCACCCTTATCCTCTGTGGTGTAGTGTCCCGCTTACTGACAACACCCCTGCTTCCGCCTTCCACCCTATGTTGGAAGCAGAACAGGGCTTTGCTGGATCACCCAGGTCTTGTCCTATTCGTCTCTCGGCTTGGTATATAACAGTGGCGGAACACACAATATATCAGGAATGGTCCTGGGAGTGGTTCTGGAAGGAGACAGAGACGAGGTATACAAGGATCTGGGTAGTGTAGCTATAGACAGACAATTATGGATTGGTTTTCCCCCACTAACCTCTAGTGTACCAATCCCCCTCAATTAATTTGTCCACCACACACACACACATTAACTGTTGAAAGACACTCACTGCATCATCCTCTGGGTAATTCATATGAACAATCACCCAACACACACACACACACATCTCTTGATTCTTTGTATTGCTGTGAATATTGAGGGCGCTGTCTGTGAGGGCTGTAACAAATTGTGGTTTGCCTGCTCAGCAATGTGCTCCACCAGTATTGACAAGTTCTACCACCATTGACAAAGTGACCCATGTCAAGCTGCCGTAGCCAACCCACCTTAGGGAAGGCTGTTCATATCAACCTCCATCCTGTGCATAGGGGAAAGACAGTCATAGACAAGATAGCTTGGAGCTTGGTTATTGTCCAGAGACAAGGCACTCAGACAAGTATTTTCATTACACCCCTTTACATACTAACAACAGTCTGTTGCTGCTGCATGAGTTAGATCCTCGCTAGTGTTATTGTCCTTACCTGTTCTGCGGTGTGGACAGGGAGGTGTGACATGTTAAGGTCTGACTAGCAAAATACCCCTTTACTTGAGCAACATGTTGTTTGGTCTACTTCTGGCAACTTTGTCAATTTAGTAATTGATGTTCAACCAACTCTCTCTTTTCATTGTCAGACTTCCACTGAAGTGGTAGTCAGAACATTGATTTTCGAGGCGAATTTGACCCACCGACGAAGTGATGGGATTATTGATGGGATCAATTTCCTTTTTCATTCTGACTCATTTTTAGTCATTTCCACTCATACGCAGCACAGCAGTTTGAGTCAATTGGAATTGACTCATGCTTAGTCATCATGACTCACGTGGAGTCATTCTGACTTTTTTCACTGTAGTATAAATTTAGCCTGATTTGTACTCTTCCAAATTAAGTACTTTTCCCCTAAAGTCTTCCCACACATGCCTACACCCTCTGGGACAGTATCGGTTACTGTTCTGATCCAAGCACTTCTTACCCAAAGTCTTCCCATGCACGTCTCACCCTCTGGAACAGTATCGGTTAATATTCCTCATTCGTATTCTAAGTCCCTGATCATGCATGCACGACCTGTATCACGCACACACGACCCGTATCACGCCTGCATGACCCATTTCCCGCACGCACAACCCGTTTCTAGCATGCACAACCCGTACCCCGCATGCACAACCCATTTTCCCACACGCATGCCTCAAACCTCAATTATGATAAGCACACATTCTGCACCTGTCCACGCCACCGTACCCATACCCCCTCCCAAATCATTTGATTCCTTTCCTTGATCCACCCCCAACTACAACCTAGCTGGTGCTTCCTGTCGAATCCTTAACCCTTTTGATTTGATCTTGGATTTAATTTTTCGAGACAAATCCCAGTCAGAAACTTTGAGCTCTGACATCATCTACTTCTGCTTGTGCAGTAGGACCACATTTCATTCTTGACTCAGTTGAGAGGATATAGAATATCCCACGCACCTTGTGAAGGTTTGGCTCCAGGTCCATGGACAGCTATTAAACCGACGTGCTCTTTACTTGAAAAAGAATGGCTGAACCAGGGATTGAACCAGGGATTGAACCTGGGACCTTCTTGAAACATGTGAGATGCTCTTAGCCAAAGCTTTCCAATTGAGCTATTCTGCCAATAGCATGAAGGGAACTCCCATGGATCCCTCCATGAGAATGGAATAGCAATGAACTCAAGACAAATAGGTGGTAGAGATGAGATTATAGGAAAGCAGTGGACCATACAGGACACTTGTGAGAATCACAGGCCAGCCACAACATCCATTTAACAGTAGTTCTAGCCTGATCTCTGCAATCAGCTCAGAATGAACCACAACTCTGTTTGCAACTTGAACGGGGACTCTGTATGGATGGGAATTCAACAATTTAGCACAACTGTTAGTCATGTGTGAAGGGCCCAAGACTCTGGATTCCATCTGCATTCAGCAATAGATGTTGTGAGATGGGAGAGGATGCTAGCATTGGAAGCCACATAGAACATTGGTGCTGCTGCACCCTGTTTGGCCTTCCCTCTCTTTCTAGCCTTTTTAGATCTGGCTGGTGCAATCAGTTCCAAGAACTGAGGGCACTGAAAGAGTGAATGATTGGGTTGTCCTCAACCTCTGCAAATCACTGCAGAAGCTGAGGGTGTAGCTGCTGCAGCAGCAGAAGATGAGGGAGGAAAAGGATGAGACTGAGAGATGGAGTTGCCCATGATGGGTAGAGAGCACAGCAAGAAATGGATGGGTAATCAAGACCCTGAGTTAAAGCCCCAGTGTGTGTGGAAGAAGAGTAGGTAATGAAAATACCCTTGGATGTAGCAAAGTAACTAAGAAAAGCTAATGCTACTGAACACCCAGTTGTAAGGCACTTAGGCCCTAACCCCAGAATCACAGGGATGACTACCTGGATATTTTCTGGTGGATCAAAGACTACCTCTCAAAGAGGATTTGTCTGAACAGTTGGTGCTCCTATCTACAAAGGGGCACACACACACAACAAGGACAAAAGCAGTGCAAAAATGCGGTGGATGAGAATCTCAGACAACAGACACTTAGAAGCCAGGGCCCATAACCTGATAAAACCCAGCAAGCAGATATCCAAAGTCAACAGTAAGAAACTGAGGACTCAGGAATACACTAGCCTACTTATATAGCTACTAGAACAATAAAGAAGCAGAACAATAAGATGTCTATCTAGAAAATAGAACAATAAGATCCTGTATCATGACAATAAGATTGTGATCAGAGAAGCAAGAATAGCACAGCCTAATCACTGGCTCCGACAATCAGACTGTCGGTGATGGTGCTGATCCCATCACTACATACCTAAATATAGTACCTACTCTAACTATGATAAATCTGCGAAAATAGATACACTGTCCAAGATGGTACACATACTTACTATAGTTTGCTGCCAGCGATGTGAGGGAGACTGTGGCATCACTTTGGAAAACAAAGTTCCAAAAGTGACTTGTTCTTCCTCTGGGGGATTTTTTGTTTAAGAGTGGTTTGTATAGATTTTGTGGGGAAATAGTTTAGCAGTGTTTGCCTGTGGCGATCTGTTGGGGTCAAAAATGGGGGATAATGTGAAAAATACCTTGTTCAGATGTGCACGCTGCATGTACATGACTCATCCAAGTCTCTGCTTTGCCTCTCTTCTACTGCCTTTCCCCTTTGAACTAGGTGATAGTTGATTTGACTGGCTCTCCCGAAGGTGGGATAACCACAACAGCTTGATGAGGGCCCATGGGCTCAACATGAGTACAGCTTGCGAAGAGCATGAATATGCCGGTCGTCATCCAAGGTGTCCGTGATTTAGTGTGGGATGCCTTTATTTGTTCCTCTCTGCATGAGCAGTGGTTTGCAAGGTCAAGGGAACAGGTTAGTGGGTTTAGACGTTCGGTATGAACTGTCTGGAGGATGTATGGTCAAGTGTTTTCTGACAAGTTAGTGGGTTAGTGGTGCATGGGTGTTTGGTACACTAGAAAACTAGTGGGGAAAAACCGCTCTGGAATCGACCGACTATTGCTTAGAACCCAGCTCCTTTTATACCCTGCCAATATCCCCCTTGGACCTTCTCTGCATGTCCACAGTCCACTCCCTTGGTGTTCCATAGCGTCCTAGCCCCATGGCAGTGTGCTTGCGCCGTGTTTCATCCCACTGAGTTATGATACTTGTCAGAGCAAGTTGCCTTTTTAGGCCCAAAAGTTGTTGGGACGCAATGCCCGATGAACTGCTACCTTCCTAATCTGTCCAAAGTCCATGTGGATATGACGTCCTGAAGCCGGAAAGGGGTGAAATGTGTGTGTTATGTTGGCATGAGCGTGTTGGAAGTGCTGTGCGCTCCAGTGGTTGATCCTGTTATGGGCAATTGCATTCCTATCCACCAGGTGTCGTTGGAGGTACACTGTCCATGATGTGAGATGCAAGAATGGTGTCTGGAGTGTGTGGATGTGGGGAATGCGGGGTGTGGTGAGCGCTGGTGGTGAATCTGGGTGTCGTGTCCATGTTGTCGTATACGCTGCAGGGCTCCCACATGCGCTGTGTATGCCCCAGCGTATACGACGACTCACAACCGAGTACAAGCTGCGATGACCTTTCCCTTATCATCCGAGCCGCTACAACTTCCCAACTTGCCACACCTTTTTCATCTCAGCACCCCACGGCGTCGCACCTGCACCAGCACATCGGACCACTTCTACACACTGTCACCAATATCCATGCCAACCACGTCCCCGATACCTCGTACCCGACACATCGCACACGTTTTATCTAAATTCGGACCTCAGTTGTCGCTCCTTGACGGACTTTGGACGAATTAGGAAGGTAGCAGTTCACGAGTCGCCACGCCTCGACACGATTTGGGCCCAAAAAGGCAACTATCTTTGACTAGTCACAATGCCTCGAGATACATGAAACACGAAGGAACGAGATGGAACACCGAGGAAGTGGACTGAGGACATGTAGAGATGCTCCAAAGGGGATAGCTGCGAGGTATAAAAGGACCTGGATCGCTCAGCAGTAGATATAGAACTTTGGAGCGGTTTTTCCCCCACTAGTCTTCTAGTGTAAACCAATCTCCCAATACATCGTTCACACACACACACACACACACACACTAACCATCTAACTTGTCACGAGACACTTGACCATTCATCCTCTAGACGGTTCATACCGAATGTCTGACCCATACTCACTGCTCCCTTGACCATCGAAAACCACTGCTCACACAGAGAGGAACGACCAAGGCATCTCGGACCAAATCGTGGACTGACTAGACTAACAACCGACTCTCCACACCAAACACACGAGTCCAACGCACGTTGAGCCTATAAGCCTTCGTCAAGCCGCCATGGCTAACCCACCTTTGGGAGAACCAGTCACATCAACTATCACCCAGTTCAAAGGGGAAAGGCGATAGAAGAAAGACAGAGTGGAGACTTGAATATTGTCTCGGATTGAAGTACAAGGGCAGTGTGCTTATCTGAACAAGGTATTTTTCGCATTATCCCCCATTTTTGACCTCCCACAGCATCCCAAGGGCAAACTCTGTTTGACCTCTTCTTCTTACAAACACTTATTGACCCACCGGTTAACGAGAAATCCCCCAGAGGAAGAACAAGTCATTTTTGGAACTCCGTTTTCCAAAGAGGCGCCACAGTCTCCCTCACAACACTGGGGCGGACACAGCGATGTGGCAGCCCCACAGCAGATGGCAGTTTGGGCACCTCATGTAGTGCGAATAACTAGTTAAAGGGCAGCATCATACCGTGGGCCTAATGCATTATTCGTGGGGTATCCATATTGGGCATTCCGGCTGTACTGGGTACCAGTTGTACCCTCCCATATCACTACGGGTTGATGCGGCATCTCTTGGCTTGGTTCCCGACCTCACTGTGCTTACCAAGACTGTCCCAATGCAGCTCCGAACCCGTATATTATGATAACCACCGGTATTAATACCCAAAAGAGCAATAAATACATATTTCCCCATGGGAATCAAAGGTACGTATACCGGCAAATCCCGGTACACATCAAAAGTGAACAATTAATACCCCCTGCACCTAAAAACAGCACTATTGGGTCGCCTTCATACCTGGGACCTCTACAATAAGTGGCATCAACCCTTAAAATATTTTCCGAATAAAATATTCGGCATTTGCCGGTTCCCATCAAACAGGGAAAATTTGTTCCTGCCTGCGAAAAAAAAACTCCTGCCTCAGAATAAAATACAATACTGCTAGTGTACAACTATCGAAATATATATATACAACTGACTGCCCCAAAAAAACCCCAAATGAAAAAACTAAAATAAAAATAAAAAACCCCCCCAAAAAAACCCTAATCCTCGTCCACCTCGCCGCCCATGAGCAGCTCCTCATCGCTATTGATGTGCCCCTGCTCCGCCTCATCCTCCTCATCATCCGTGTCTTCCCCCTCCTCCTCCTCGGACTCCGAAACGTCCTGCCCTCGCACTCGCACCCTTGGCGCCTGCCTCTTTCACCCCCTTGCAACCTTTGGCTCCGTCTCAATAAAACGCGCGTGTTCCGCCAGGGCAGCGTACATTTCTGCCTGTTGCCCCGCATACGCAATAAGGCCCTGCGCCACGGGCAGAGACATGGAATCTAAGTCCATGACAGCAGCGTGCGCCTTCCATACCTCTGCCTCGTACTCCAGGGACAGCGGCACACGGCGGAACTCCTCCTTGAGCAGGCGCACCTCCTCCCTCCACCTTCGAACTCTCGTGTATGCCTTTGCCCACTCAATTCGGAGCGCTGGTTAATAGTCAGCGAAATAATCTTACATAAAAAAATGAAATAAAACTCGCCATTCTCCAGCTCCGCATCAGTCCCCGTCGTCCCCGCGGACGTCCAGATCCATGAGAGCTGTTGGCGGTTCTCCCCTCCCCGGGTGCGCACCTCCCCATCCTCGACATCCTCCTCGTCCGCAGAAACCTCCACCTCCTTCTCCAGCGCCATTTCCCCTGATGCCCGCAGCTCCTCCTCCTTCTGCCTGCGCCTCTCTGCCTGCGCGCGCTCCTTCTCTGCCTTCCTCGACAGCTCCTCAGCGTCCTCCATCAGCCGAATATCCTCCTTCCGCAACCTCTGCCACCCAACTTTTGACGAATCACCTTCC